TTATTCAAGCCTAGAATTTTTTGCCCTCAAATGACTAAGCATGGGAGTATAATAAAAATGTCAATGCAAGGCTTCAAAAAACTTTTATCTTCTATGAAAAATTGTTATGAGAGGTAACTTCACACATACGCAAAAGTGGAAAGAAAGAGAACATTAGTGAATCACCATATATTCCATTTATGGCTTTAACAATCACGCACTCACTGCCTACCCCTGAGGAGTCTGGAAGATATGCATGCTTCTAGGAAGAGCACACAACACACACAAAACTAAGGTCTCCCAAGGAAGCAAGGTGACTCCAACCTAAACAGAAGAAAAAGGACCTCCAGGGACAGCAGTGCTGCAGCAGGGTAGAGGACAGTAACAGACTGAAAAGGACAGAAGGCACTAGAAAAAAGCCTCTAAAGAAACAGATTTGAATTATCTATCCCACTGGGCTGTGCAGGAAATTATACTAAGAGGAGTTTTATAAAGCTATGTTAGGAGGTTTAAGAGACTTCAAGTTGCAAATAAATTTGAGCAATCATTTAACAGTGATTTAAATCATTTAAATGCCAGGAAAAAATACCGTACCAAAAAAAAAAAAAAAAAATCACACCATATTACATAGCTCACAAGTATTCAGTATTTATATAGTAGTTATAATGGAAACAATAAATATACAATTTTAGCCAAAACCAGTATTGGGAAGCTAGTGGGAGAACAAGAAAGCAAAAGAAAGTTAAATCCCTACACCCACAACAGAAGTCAATACATAATATCTAAAATCATAACATCCAGAGAAATTAATATACTCACAATTTTGGCTAGTGTTAAAGTCAGAAAGAATTAAAAGTATTAGCTCTATAGCACCTAGTTTTTGTTAAAAATCTTTGGCATTATATAACATTTTCAACTATGATTTTTTTATTAATTTGATGAAAGTAAAATCAAGGTTTTTAAAAGATTTGAATTAAATATAGCAAAAATACTTGAATCTAAATAGTAGATACATGGATTCTATTATGTATTAAACCACAATGGGCAGACCATTGTGACCATTCCCTGTACCTGTCAGCATGACTAAGGGATGTCACAAAGGAGAAATATTCTCTGGTAAACCAGCAGAAATGAAGATTAAGAATAGGGATACAGGGTCCTTCCCTGGTGGCACAGGCGGTTGAGTGCCGCGTTGTGAAGCTGTCCGCAGCCTCTGTAGTGCTGGTTTGATCCCGGCCGATCCCACATGGTGCAGCAGACCTCTTCTGTCTCGCTCGCTGCTCCCCTCAGCAGTGTGTTTCATCAGCCTGCCTGTTCTGTTCCCCATTCTGTCTCTGGTGAATCCTCTCACCCTCCTGCATGTCTGACCTGTAGCCCAGTTCTTGTATGTATGAATAAATAAATCTTTAAAAAAAAAAGAAAAGGGAAAAAAAAAAACAAAACAGGGAAACAAGGCCTCCCTGGTGAAGCAGCAGGTTGTGCGCAACCCTGTGAAGCTGTCCGCAGCCTCTGCAGCACGGACGTGATTCCCAGCCTGAGATTCCCACATGGCACTGCGGCAGACCTCTCCTGTTGCGCCCGCTGCTCCCCTCAGCAATGCTTTCAGTCTGTCTGCCTGTTCTGCTCCCCGCTCTGTCTCTGGTGAATCCTCTCACCCTCCCGCACCTCCAGCCTGTACCCTGTACCCCAACTATTGAATAAATTTAAAAAAAAAAAATCTTAAAAAAAAAAAAAGGGAAACATGTTCATTCTGCCCAGTGTCACTAGGTATATATAAACCACTACTTTAGTGACCAATTAAATCCCAGCCTAATTACATAAACAAATTATTTTTTAAATAGAAATTTTAGAAATTTTTTAAAATTGAATTAAACCATTGGTATACATCTTTATTAGTGTTTTGGAAGTATAGTATTTCCCCTTCCAGGTGTAGTCACCAATAAATTCTTAATATGTTGAGCTAAATATATAAATAAAAATTCCATCTTCTAATTTGGATTGATCACACTTTATCAAAACACATTGTCAGGTTGTGGCACACACTGAGGATTGCCCACACTCAACTGGGTTGTCAGAGAAGTCATGACATTATCTTCTTAGTTTTTCAAGCGAAAATGAGTCATGACTTCTCCAGCAACCCAATATTTACCACTGCGGTGGTTCTTCAGAAAAGAGCTGGGGCTCCATGCTCCTCCCTCACCCCAGGTGGCTGTATCTGTCAAAACCCCAAGGACAGGATGCAGCAAGGGTGAAGATGTTTGATTCCCAGGCTCCAAGAGGAGAGGCCACACAGCTGTGCCTGCTTCTCTGTGGACAGTCACTCTGGGAGCCTCCAAAATTCCAGCCAGCCAAAGACCCACACAGGCAGAGGTGACCTAAGAGCGCTAACTGTGGAAGCCTTCAGCTTCATTCCAACTCCAAGGTATGCCCAGTTGGGCTTCTAAATGTATGAGGGGGGAAAAATACCTCCTTTTGGGCCCCTTATAAATGGGCACATCTGTAACTGACAGGGATTTAAAAGAACAAAACCATTTGTCTATGCTAACAAGATAAATGATTGATTTAATTTTACAAATAATACTGATCAAGGGGTTTTGTCAGCAATCTTTCCAAAATAGTGCATTATTACAGATAGTGAAAAACAATAATGACCCCAAGGTCTCATAAATTAAAATATCAAACATCAGGCCAATCAGAATTCAAAGAGTACTTTGTCTTTAGCCCTATGCTATGTGCTCTAACAAATATTGACATATAAGAAAATGTAAGATGAAAGTACCGGGTTAAGATCAACAGTTTCCCTAAAAATAGTAATTTGTCAGTTTGGCTCTTTCAGCTATTTTACCAAACTACAGAGCAATTCAGTCAGCTTGCTGTTCTAACAAGATGGCAACTTCAGAATCAATGAAGAATATTGCAGTGTTGAATTTGCAATGATGCGCAAAAAAAAAGAACTCTGGAAAATGAATTACTAGTTCAATGATACTTGTAAGGTTTCACTGGGCAACAAAAACCTGACAGCACTTTTTGCAATTATAAGATGAAATTAAAAAAAAAAAAAATGTTTATTGCAGAGTTTGATCAACATACTTGCTCTTTTTGTAGAGCAGCTATAATATGCCAGATAAATAGCTAGGCACCTAACATAGCTAAGCTCATTTATTCTTCAATATAATCCCAGTATGTACACACTACACAGTCCCATGAGGACTATAAAACACTGAAGTTTACAGGGCTAATAAGGGAGCTAGACAAGAAAAAACCCTGAAGCAGCCAAAGTGAGAGCAAAACTGAAGGAATCACAAAGCCCTAGTAATCAAAACAGTATACTATTGGCACAAAGTAGAGGCACAGATCAACTGAATAGAATCAAAAGCCAAGAAATAAAACCCAAATATATGGTCAATTAATTTATGAGAAAACAGCCAAGAATATACAATGGGAAAAGGACAATCTCTTCAATAAGTAATGTTGGGAAAACCAGACAGCCACACACAAAATAATGAAACTGGACCCGTATCTTATATCATAAACAAAAATTAAGTCAAAGTGGACTGAAGACATGGATACATGGACCTTAAACCATAACTCCCAGAGAAAAACACAGTCAGTAAACTCTGTGACAACAAAAGCAAAAATAAACCAATAGGACTACATCAAATGTTAAATCATGATGTTATACACCTGAAACCAATATAATCTTGTATGTCACAATTACACTTGAGCTTACAAAAATCACATTTTTTTTAATCCAATAGAGCACACTTAAAGGTACTTAAAAATAAGTGTGCATTTAAAGGGAAATGAGTGGGACTGAGCTAAGGAGAGGGCTGGGTTTAACAATAAACCCTCAGATGAGGTACCCTTCACTACTATCACCGTGCCAAATTAATCTTACTATACACATTAAACAATTATATCAATATTATCTTTACATTGCAGGAATTAAAATCAAGAGTTACAGTATACTTAAAATCTTAGTCCCTGAGGGTTCTTCTACAAAGGAGTTCCAAATACCACAAAATATAAACAGTAATGCTAAATTATGTAATAATCACTGTTGTGAGATTAATAATTTTGCTAACTTAATTCTCAGATTCACTTACCAAAGAACCTTACAATGTTATGACAGGCATTTTTCAATGTTTGAATGTATTCCTGGAATGAAGAAGAACCTACATGCTACCTAAAGTAAATGTCACTTACCCATTTTATACAGTGTAACCAGTAACATTTGATCTTTGTTTCAAAGGTGGATAAAACTCAGGCAAAGTCTAAGATTCTATTCTAAATTTTTTTTTTTTTTTAGATTTATTTATTTATGCATACAAGAGCTGGGGTACAGGCCAGAGATGTGGTGGGTGAGAGGATTCACCAGAGACAGAGTGGAGTACAGAACAGGCAGACTGACTGAAATGTACTGCTGAGGGGAGCAGCGGGTGAGACAGGAGAGGTCTGCTGCGCCATGTGGGTAGCCCCCTCACCGGCTGAGGACCAAACTTGTGCTGCAGAGGCTGTGGATTGCTTCATAGTGCGGTGCTTAACCCCTTGCACCACCAGTGAGGCCTGATTCTATTCTAAAATCTAATCTAAGTATTAGCTGTATGCCATAAAAATAGAATTAATATAAGTTCTATTATTCATTTCATTTCCATCAGTAAAATTCCTTCAAATAAAATATAAAAACTGAGTTTATCTTTTCCCCTTGAAATGGCTATGAATTTCCTAAATCTCAACCTAATATTTAGTCTCCTCACATTTCTTTTCCAAAAAAACCCAAAGAGAGACAAATTCTTTATTATAATCTTAAATCCTCACTTGCTGAATTTACTTGATATCTATAACTCTGCCAAAAGGTAGGGTCCCTGGCTTTCAAAAACCTAACCACCTGGGTTTTTTGACACTCTATGAAAACATATCTGAAATCAAAGCTTTAAGAATAGCAAACCACTAGGTATATATAGAAGTGTTCCACAATCTTGTTACTGTTTAAATTTATTATACTAGAACAAGCTGCCTACCTGCATCAGCTCTGGACCGCTGGCCAGGGGTCTTCCCGAATGGGGTCTTCATTCATCTGTATTTAAGTGAGCAGCAGCGCTGCTGTACTAGGGTGAAAATTCTGTATTCTTCAGCTTGAAACTTTTCACAGAATTGCAATGTTTCTTGTTAATCCATTATCCAAGTGCCTCCTTTACAAGTTCAGCAAAAACACATGAAATTATAAGAACTCTGTAAAACAGTGAAATACAGTTCATCATTAGAGCAAAGTGAACACTGACCACAACAAAACATTTTAAACATAGTATTAGCTAAAGTGCACATGTCCCCAAAGCAATCACTTCACTTTGTGACGCCTGGGTTCTCAGGACAGTACAAAGTGCTGGGAGAAAAGACAACACCAGCTTGGACACCTGGGACACTTGCAAGCCTCCAAAGTAAAGCTCCTAGGAGGTTCCAGACACGTCCAAGCATCTGGTTTCCCATATATCCCAACCCTAGTTAGATAGGAGCAGATGCTGGAGTGGAGGCAGGGCCCATCCTTGATAGACACAAAGCCCATAAGCTCAGGGGTGGCAAGGAGGTGGGAGTCACTAAAGAGTACCAATCACTAAAACCCTGATTTTGTTGTTTCAATATTTGCTATATAATGCTTTGAAAATACAGATAAATTGGAGCTCTCCTACAAAAAAACCTCACTCTCCTTTGACAGGAAAGAGCAAAATTGAAAAAGTTTGTTCAATTAAAAAATAGTACTATCTACTAGGTGGTTAATTGAAAAAAATACTTAAACTTTAAATGCTGAGATAGCAAAATCTCTTTTCTAGGATGGCAGGAATTATTAGTTTTCCTCACATGTTACAGAAACACTGTCAAGTGGAACTTAATTTCAATGCCCATGTAAACAACTGTTCTACGTTTATACAGACAAAACATGCTGAAACCATGACTGAAAGTCACGGGAACACAATGTTGCACAGCACCAAAGGGTCCCACAGATGACAGCTAACTACGACCATGGCCACTTTCCCACTGAAGGGATGTCCCACCAACTGCATATCGCCAATAGTGAGTCACCTACACTTACAGGCTGCCACTGTGACATGCTGTACCACATGTAAAGCAATGCTTTTCCTGAATTTCATACAGCTTCTATACCTAAATCCAGTTTATCAGAGTAACAGGTGATATAGGAGCAAGTGAGACATCGCCACCAGGAAACAGATTTAGAAATGAGGAATTTCTGTAGGACAGGCCACACCCTTCAAAAATCCATGTCATCCCGAAGGAATAAAGTAAGCACAGTGCTCTAGATTACAAGAGACTTAAAGACATCAACCGACCACAACAGACACCCCCTGAATGGATGGTATGGAGGGGGAAAGCTCTGTAGAAGAGATTAAGACAAAAGAAAACTTTAAGTAGGGGCTAAATAATAGATCTCATTAACTTTTTTTAAATTAACTTATTTATTTATTTTTACTTATTTATACAAGCACTGGGTACAGTCAGAAGCACGGGAGGGTGAGAGAATTCACCAGAGCCAGAGCGGGGAGCAGAGCAGAGCAGGCGGGGAGCAGAGCAGAGCAGGCGGGGAGCAGAGCGGGCGGCAGGAGAGGTCTGCGCACCATGTGGGACCCTCCTCCAGTGGCCGGGGAGCAGCCGGGGATCGAACTGGCGCTGCAGAGGCTGCGGGCAGCTTCGCAACCCAGCGCTCAACCGCTGCGCCACCGGGGAGGCCCGATCTCATTAACTTTTAAAGGCACAATGATACTGTGGATATGTATGAGAATACATTTTTTTCTTACTGCATGCTGAAATTTCTAGAGGTAAACTACTATAATGTTGTCAAGTAAATCAAACGGTTCAGATAATAAAAGCGAGAACACAAAGAATGACAATGGCAAAGAAATTAATTTTTAAATGTCCATGAAGAGCATATTAGTGCTATCCATCAAATGTTTGTTTCAATTTGTAATTTTTCTTAGTAAAAAAAGGGGGGGAATCCTGAATTTTCTTTTGCTAAATCCATTCTTATGAAATATAACTAAATTTTACTAGTCTTTTAAATTTTGCTGTAATTTTGCTACAGTCTTTTAAATATGTCATGAACTTAAGTTTTGAACTCAAAATTCTCCTTCTGTTATGATCTCCAAGAAAATCACAAGATTCCCATAAACCATTTCACAGAAAAACACATGCTCCCAAGATGACACTTCCTCCTGTACCCCCCATCAACTCAGAACCTACAGTCTCCAACAGACACATTCTATCTTAGAAACTGAAAATTAGGCACAAAAGTTTAAATACGGTCATACAGATTTCAAGTAGCACTGAAGAGATAAATCTGTTGTAAAAACAGACACTTATAGATTGTTCCCCTAAAGGAAGATGGTGTCACAAAATTCAATGACATTAGAGTCTGTCTCCAAAAAGATTAAGAAATAAGTGTTCCAACGTTTCAGATATAAAAGTAGTAAAACAACACGAAGTAGAAATTATGCATCAAAATACTTGCTGCCAGCTGCCATTCCCCCCTCCCCCCAAAAAAGAAACCTCTAAAACTGTTCAAGCAAAAGTGCCAAGTTCCAAAGAAGCACCAGCCCTGTGTCACTAAAGGCAAAGTGCACAGGCGCACTAAAGACCATACTGAAGTGGCTGCTGGAGTCTGGACTGCCAACACTTTGTCTTAAAGTTGTTACAAAGAATTCAACATGGTGGGAGGGACAGTATGTGATCATAAATATTTGTGGAAAAGGGCATAGCTAAAATCTGGAGAAGGCCTAAATGTGAGACAGGAAATCATTTTCTTAAGTATACTATTGTAGTTATAAGGAATATCCTCATTTTGAATGAGGAATATCATTTTAATTGAGGAATATCATCATTTAAAATGATGTCCACAATTTTCAAAAGGCTGAACAAAAAGTATCAGTAAGGAAATGTTAGCAAATGAATCTTAATAGAGGATGTACAGTGTAACTCAGCTGTAGTTTTAAATGTAATACATGCAGGAAATTACATTTACAAGTTGGGGGGGGGGGGACAGCAGAGGGAGGCGAGTAGCCAAATCTGGAGTTGGTGTCAATGTGTTTACTTAAGGCACTGAAAAAATTTACTTAAGGCACTGAAAAAATTTGTAACTTATTTTCTAAGATACTATTTTTAAAGACAGAGTCTTTTTTAAAAAGCTCATAAATAAAGACTGGTGGATATAGTGAAAATGGATTAAGGTGGTAAAAAGTTACAAGTATCCAGTTGTAAGATAAATAAGTCCTGGGGATGTGATGCACAGGACTGAAGTTAATAATACTGTATTGTATATATGCAAGTTGCTGAGTGGACAAAAATAATTAAAACAAAGAAGATGGCAAAATATTTGTTGTTCCTCACTCAGCTTACTTCAACTTTTCTATATACTTGAGAATTTTCATGATAAAAAGTTAAAGAGTAAAAAGGCCAATGGTTTCCAATTTTGCAAATGTGGAAAGAGAAAGCACAGGAATTGAACTGAGAACCATTCTAGGTACATAAAAGAATTTGCTAGAAAGTCAAATCACAAATCTATCAATGGATGGCACCGAAATAAACATTCCAGAGAAGAGACTGGCTGGGTTAGGTTGTCTTTTTAACTAAAACTTCGATATTAAAATGAAGGGCTCAGTCTTTAACAAAGCATTGTTGATTACCCAATGTTTGGCTGCAACACATACAATTTAAATATCTAAAGGCCTTCAGAGTCCCAAACTCTCTTTTCAAAATAAAATAATTAAACAGACTGAATCACTACACATCTAACACCAGATTCCAATTAGGAGCTCTTAAATAAGGACAAAATGTATAGGGCCATGAATCTGAATAGGGGGAAATTTCTACCTTCATGTGGTGTATATTCATTTACATCCTAAAAGTAGGAAACAACTCCAGTCTTGTCACCAGATCCTCTGACTTTCTCAACAATATAAATCAAGGTCTTCCCATCCCACTGTGCTTGTTTCATATCTTAAAATATCCTGCAAGTTGGTCAGTACTTTCAAGTTCAAGTTCCTAGGCCAGTCACAAAACAGTCAAAGTGGGTCAGCCTCAGGCTACCAGTCATGAAACTATACAAGTAAAATCAGTGACTGCCATAAACAGAGCCTGGCAGGCCCTGGTCCTACTTCCTGGCAAGTACTCTAAATCCTTGAATTCCATGAGACATGGGTTTTTGCTATTCAGAGGTGCCCCTACACAGTTTGGGCTAACAAGATGACCTAGAACAGGTAATGGCCGCCAAAAGACCAACTTTGGGATTAAAGGATGGGGCTTCGAGCCCCTTGATAGCAACCTGACCCCGGGGAGGGGAGAGGACAAAAAAACAAGGTGTCTGAATGCAATGGTCCAAGCAACCTTGCTTACACACTGAGGCCACAATTACAACTTTGGGCATGAGGTTGGAGTGAGTGTCCCTGGTCACCACTCCAATTCCACGTGGGAGGAGACTATCCTGACTGTGCTGGAGAGGACAAAGAGCTCCCTATCTATTGTGCCTTGCTTCTTTAAGGATTTGAATCCTGATTTGCTATAATGAAAGAATAATCACAAGGATAGCACTTTCTAAAGTCATTTTAAGTGAAATGTTGAAACCAGTCCTCAAGTTTGTATTCTGGGGTCTGCAGGAAGGGCCTTAGGCAGAGAACTGTGACTCAGAGGTGAAACCTGACCTGTTCTTGAGAAGACCTGTCAGGGTTGCATCTAAGATGTTCCCTAGTATTGTTCCCTGTCACCATTTATCTACTGATCAAAGAGCGGAAAGAACTAAGTCAAAATCCACCTCATCATTTAGTCTTTAAACATCAAACTCTTCATTTTAGTATCTTAAAAATAAAATTTTAATTACCTATATGTCAACCACATTATCTCATCAATTAAAGGATTACTAAAGAAGCCATAATACTACACTAATATTGTTTTCTGTTTCATCACTACTTAAATATAAATAGTTTCTTTTGTGATCCCATGTATTTTACTTTACTGTTTTCAGAAACATTCTGGAGAAGTACCCATAGGTGTCACCAGATTACTAAAAGATTCATGGCACAACCACCTCTGCCTAAAAACACCCACAAAAACTCTGAAGCCTTATGGGTCTACAAAGGCTACTTCCAGTAACCAATGTAGAGAATGGCCAACTCCCAGCAGAATGAATGGCAATCTAGACAACTCCCTTGAAAGCTAGAAAAATCAAAATAAAATGTTCAAGAACTACCCTAACAACTATCAGGATCCAGGGTTTCCTATAGGAATGGTTAATTCCAGGCTGGGCAGGTAATACAAGGATCCTAGATCGTCAGTCATACCAGAAGCCAGAAAGCTACCACAGACTACTGGAGTGGTGTCAAAGAGAGAGAGGTTCGTTCACACTCTCTTCTTAGTTTTTATTTATGTTTGTAAATTTTCATGATAAAAACTTGAATATACTAAGCTGATACACTAAACATAAGTTTAAAGCATCAAAGAGGGCCTGCCCAGTGGCGCAGCGGTTGAGCGCTGGCTTGCGAAGCTGCCCGCAGCCTCTGCAGTGCTGGTTTGATCCCAGGCCACCGGGTGAGGGTCCCACATGGCGTGCAGACCTCTCCTGCCGCCCGCTGCTCCCCTCAGCAGTGAACTTCATCAGTCTGCCTGCTCTGCTCTCTGCTGACTCTGGCAAATTCTCTCACCCTCCCGCACTTCTGACTGTACCCAGTGTTTGTATAAATAAAGTATAAACAAATAAATCTTTAAAAAAAAATAAAGTATCAAAGAACTGAAGACAAAAGCACACCAGAGGCAGGATCTAAAGCGGTAATCCTATGCTGAAACACACAAGAACTACTTCTATCCCTGAAAGAACCTGTCAAGTGCTAAGGAGGCGGCTGAAAAGCCAACAGCTTTGCAAGGCCAGGGGCCAGAGACTGGAATCTACTGACTACCAGTGGGAGAAGGGATTGGAGAACCCACTTATATGAACTATATCCCAAGGTTCTCTCAGGAGCAGGGGATGGTAAGAAGCAGGCAAAAAACCACATCCCATCTCGACTCATACCTTGACACCCCCCAAACCAACTTGAGGTGAATCCACTGCCAACACCTCAGATGCATGGGAAACAAAGCATAAGCTGTCTTCAGGAGTATATTCCTAGATCCTAAATTATTTTGTCATTTTTAAATGCAGTCTACTGCAAGTGCACATGTGCACACACAAACCAGCCCACAAGGAGAAAAACAAAAACGAGCAGAAATAACAAGTACTAAACAAACCAAAGAAAGTACAGGGCTTTTGAGACATTAGTGCTGCAAAATCAACTCTAAGTTGGGGAAAGAAACATATAGGAATAAACAAAATTATTAAATGAAAAATAAAAATTACAAATATTATATTCAAAGACATATGAAACAAAACTTTGGTAGAAAACTATCAAAGAACCAGATTTTTCCAGAGGTAAAAAAAAAAAATAAACTCAATGAAATTAACAGCAGGCAAATCTTGTCTAAAAATTACCATTAGCCTACTATGAAAAGGACAGATGAAAAGAAAATAAGCAAAATGAATCATGGAAGGAAGAGACTGAGTAGGTTTAAGAGTTTGAATGAATTCTCAGAAACAAGAAAGAAACAAAAACAGGGTAGCAGAAAAAGTTAAAAATATTAACACCTACAAACTTCAAAAGAACGAAAGATGCTAGGATTCAATGAGACCTGTAAAAACAAAATGAAAAAAAAAAAAAAAACCACATCAGGGCCTCCCTGGAAGCTCAGGGGTTAAAGTCTCAGCACTTTCAAGCTGTTGCCAGACACTGTGGCGTAAATTTGATCCCCAGACAGGGAGCTAACCCACATGGCACAGCAGAGCTCTCCTATCTTGCCTGCTGCTCCCCTCAGCAGTATATTTCAGTAGATCTTCCTGTTCTGCTCCCCACTGTCTCTGGTGAATCCTCTCACACACACCCCACCTCTGGCCTACACTCCAGTTCCTGTATGCATAAATAAATCTAAAAATAAAAATCTTTAAAAAGACACACACATTATAGTAACATCAATCACATCATAGTAAAAATATTGAAAACCAAAGACCAAAAAAAGAAAAAAAGTCATAAAATCCTGGGAAAAAAGACAAATTCCAAATTTGTCTGACAAATTTAATTTGTGGAAAATTAAAGTGACAGTATACTTCTTATAAACAGAATGGAAGCTGATGTTAATTCATAACTTCCTTCAACACCTTGGAAGAAAACTGACAAGTTAGGATTCCATATACACCAAAAACATCCTTCAAAAAAGGAAAATTAATTTGCGCATACCCAGACTAACATTCAGGTCATGATTAGCACTCACACAACAGGCAGGAAACATCAAGAGTGTTCTTCAGGCAATAGGAAAATCTATGTGATTGTTGATAATGGGAGATTTAAGAGGAATAGGGGACAGAGGGGAAATTTTGTAATCACTGCTGAATTTTGCTGCGAAACTAAAACTGCTCTTAAAAATACAGAACTGAGGTTACCAGAATTGAGGTTACCAGAAGGGAATGGAGGGGTGGAATAAAGGGGGCAGGGGGTCTAACAGACTATGGCGGAGGATTCACTGGGGCTGTGGCGGTGAATGTGGCAGTGAATGTGGCGGTACGATAACAAACATTTGTAGAGGTGTGAACCTCTAACCCCTAAAACATACACAGTTCTGTAAGCCAACATTGCCTCAAGCATAATTTTAAAAGAAATATACAGGCAAAACTCAAATACTTTGGGTTTGGTTCCATACCACCCCAACAGAGCATATATTGCAAGAAAGTAGTCACATGAGTTTTCCGGTCTCAGTGCATATATGTAAGTTGTGTTTACCTTATACTGCAGTCTATTAAATGGGTACTACCACTGCCTAAAAAAAAAGTACTTAATAACCATAATTAAAATAACTTCATTGCTGAAAAAATGCTAACTATTACCTGAGCCCTTTGGCAAGTCACAATCTTTTTGCTGGTGGAAGGTTTGGCCTCAATGCTGATGCTGCCAACTCCTCAGGACAGTGTTGCTGAAGGTTAGGATGGCTGTGGTAACATATTAAAATAAGACATGAAAGAAGCTTGCCATGCGGACTGACTTCCTTTCATGACAGACTTTGACTTCGCTGTATGTGACTCTGTACAGTAACATTTTTTCAACAGCCGAACTTTAGAATTTGGAGTCCACCTTCTTATAAACCCTGCTGCTCCTTTACCAACCAGGTTTGTGTAATATTCTAAGTCCTTTGTTGTCACTTCAACAATGTTCACAGCATCTTTATCAATGGATTCCATCTCAAGAAACCACTTTCTTTTTTTGTTCATCTATAAGAAGCAACTACTTGCTCCTGCTTAAAAAGTTTTATCATGAGACTGCAGGATTCAGTCACACCGTCAGGCTCCACTTCTAATTCTCTTGCTATTTTCACCACGTCTACAGTTACTATATAGTTTTGAACTCCTCAGTCACCCATGAGGGTTAGAAGAAACTCCTGTTAATGTTGAAACCTCCTTCCTTCCACAAATGTCTCTAATGGGTTCTAGAATGGTGAATCCTCTCCAGGAGTTTTTCAAACGACTGCCCAGATCCATCAGAGGAATATATGGCCACGATAGCATTACAAAATGAATTTCTTATATGAGACTCAAAAGTCCAAATTACTCTTTGTTCCATGGGCTACAGAATGGGTGCTGTATTAGCAGGCATGAAAACATAACCTTCTAGTACACCTCCATTAGAGCTCTTGGGTGGGGTCTCCCCCCTGGCGGCACAGCGGTTGAGCGCTGGGCTGCGAAGCTGCCCACAGCCTCTGCAGAGCCGGTTTGATCCCCAGCCTCCGGTTCGGGTCCCACATGGCTAGGGTCCCACATGGCGCGCAGACCTCTCCTTCTGTGCCCGCTGCTCCCCTCAGCAGTGAATTTCATCGGTCTGTCTGTTCTGTTCCCCACTCTGGCTCTGGTGAATTCTCTCACCCTCCCGCGCTTCTGACTGTACCCAGTGCTTGAATGAATGAATGAATGAATGAATGAATGAATGAATAAATAAATAAATAAAGAGAGCTCTTGGGTGGTCACATGTGCTGTCAATGAGCAGTAATATTTTGAAAGGCATCTTTCTTTCTGAGCAGTAGATCTCAACAGTGGCTTAGAAGATCATGTTTAAAAAAAAAAAGAAACCAAATTAAGAATCTATTGTCTCATTTACAGGACACAGGCAGGAAAGCTCAAGTATAATTTTTAATGGCCTTGGGATTTTTCAGAATTGTAGACATATATTGGCTTCAACTTGAAAGTCACCAGCTGCATTAGCTCCTAGCAAACATCAGTCTGTCCTGTGAAGTTTGAAATCAATCAGACTTTTCCTCTGTAGCTATGGAAGTTCTAGATGGCATCATCTTCGATCAGAAGGCTATTTTTTCCTAAGCTGAAATCTGTTGTTGGTACAGCCACCTTCAACATCAATCTTTAGTTAGATCTTCTGGATTTCCTGCTGCTTCACCTTGTACTTGTATGTTATGGGGCTGGTTACCTTCCTTAAAGCTCATGAACCAACCTCTTCTAGCTTCAAACTTCTCTTCTGCAGTTTCCTCCCCTCTCTCAGCCTTCACTGAATTGAAGAAAGTTAGGACTCTGCTCAGGATTAGGATCTGGTTTAATGGAGTTTTGTTACTGGTTTGATCATCTGTCCAAATCACTTAAACGTTCTCCAAATCAGCAAGAAGGCTGGTCTGCTTTCTAATCATTTATGTAGTCACTAGGAGTAACATTTTTAATATTCTTTTAGAATTTTTCCTTTGTATTCACAACCTGGCTGTTTGGGGCAAGAAGCCTCATTTAAAAAAAAAAAAGATTTATTTATTATATAAGCATTGGGTACAGTCAGAAGCGCGGAAGGGCGAGAGAATTCACCAGAGCCAGAGCGGGGAACAGAACAGGCAGACTGATGAAATACACCGCTGAGGGGAGCAGCGGGTGACAGGAGAGGTCTGCTCACCATGTGGGACCCTCACCCAGCGGCTAGGGATAGAACTGGCGCTGCAGAGGCTGCAGGCAGCTTCGCAGCCCAGCGCTCAACCGCTGCGCCACCTATGCAGGTGCTCTACTTGCCTTCCCCATTAAGCTCAATCATTCCTAGCTTTAATTTAAAGTGAGACACATGGCTCGTCGTTTTGCATCAACACTGAGAGGCCACTGAAGGATTAACTGATCTAATTTCAGCATCTCTTGTTTCAGAGAATAGGGAGGCCCAAGGATAGGGAGAGAGATGGGGAAAGAGAGAGTCAGTGGAGCAGCCAGAACACACACAACATTTACCTACTAAGCCCACCATCTCACAGGGGCACAGTCTGTGGAGCTCCAAAACAATTACAACAGTAACACTGATCACCAATCACCCGAACAGATATAATGATGTCTGAAACATTGTGAGAACTACCAAAATGCATCACAGAAACACAAAGTGAGTAGATGCTTTTGGGGGAAAAGGCCCTCTGTGCTGTTTTTTTTCTCTTTAGCTTAGGTCCTTAGCAATGGCAGAATGGGCTAGAGCTTCAGTCTTTGTACTGCCGGGAAACTCAGAAGCCAAGGATGATCAACAGTGTCATGATAAACAGTACAAGAAAGCCCATGCAGGCACTGCCCTAAAGGCAACCCTCTGGAAGGCACTTCCCATGGAAAGGGAATTGTGCTGGAAAAAGTAAGAGTTGAAGCCAAACAGCCAGATTCAGCTAGTATGTCAGAGTCCAGCTGACCAAGAATGGGGGGGGGGGGGGGTACGGGACACGACGACACAGCCTTTGTACCTAACGATGGCTGTTTGAATTTTATTGAGGAAAATGATGAATTTCTGGTTGCTGGATTTGGTTACAAAGGTAATACTGCTGGTGACATTCCCAGAGTCTGCTTTAAGGCTGTCAAAGCAGCCAATCTCTCTCTTTTGGCCTCATACAAAGGCAAGAAGGAAAGACCAAGATTCTAAGTTTTGGTGGTGAAAACACAGCAGCAATAAATTTTCACATGCCACCAAAAAACAGAAAAAATGGCACCCATATTTGTTTGTCTCAGGATTGTCATACTTTCACTTGGTAAAAAAACACAGTAAGGGAAGCACAATTAGTGAAACACAATAAAATAAGGTATGCCCGTAAAGTCTATTTTTAAATAATATGCTCGTCAGGATAGGTTAACAAGTGAAACTATGGTTTCAAATTCCTACTCCCCACCCTACCCAATCCTTTTCTCTATTTTCCTTCCTTTCCCCCTCCCTCTGATCACTGTAGAATAGTGAAAGACATGGCCCACCAGGAAGCTCCCTCTGGAGACTGAGTCCAGGCAGGAGGACAGGCATGCAACAAGCCTCACCACTCAAAGTCTGCGGGACAAGTCTCTTCTGCTCACATTTCACAGACCAAGGCAATCAGAAGTCCACAGGTAACTTAGGAGGCAGGAACCAGAATGGATCTTACCACAAACACACCAGGATGACTAAAATCAAAACCCCAATACCAACTGGTAGGGTGAGGATTTGGATCCTAAAGAATCCACTCACTATTGTTAAGAATAAAAATGAGCTTATCCACAGTGGAAAAGCTTGACATTATCCTCTAACACTGGTCACCACCCAGCAACTCTCCTCCTAACACAAGCATCTAAGAAAATAAGTACCTAAATGTTCATGGCACACAAGTTCTGTGATGGCCGTGACAATGTGTCTCCTGGGTGGCCCCACCATGAAGAGCTGAACTGACAGCAGCTGCACCACTGTGAAAGCTCCAAAACCACCACCCTGTGTCCCACCCCACACATCCAACAGGCTCTTTCTAGCCAATGTCTGGCCATAGAAAGATGCCATAGTAAGCAGGCCCATTCCTTCAGGACTAGGTACTTCTGTGTCCCCGACTTTGGCTGGGCAACCCCTCACTGGCCTGGATTACACTTTCTCCAAACTGACTTCATTCAGACATTTCCTAACAGTTATTTCCTCCATCTCTTTCTCCCCCCACACATCAGACCTGCAAGTGGCTGAAGACTACCTCCCACAGTTCCGCAATAAATCTAAATCTAATTCCAACTTGATGTTGTCTTGTTCCTCGAGACCTGATCCCACAGTATCACACTGGAACCAATCCAACATTTGTCAACAGGAGAATGAATAGTCAGGTGATGATACATGATCAAACACACCTCAAGTACATGTTAAGTGAGTGAAATTTATCATTTCTGAAACGAATGGTAATAATTGCTTCTCAGCCTTTTGGCTAAAGTCAAGTGCAATATGAAATGAATGATAGTAACACAGTTGCTGTGTCACCAACCAAACTTTGTAACTACTTCAACTGGGCCAATTTCACAATAAAAAAAAGAGAAAGCAAGATTCTGAGAAGTCAGTAGTCCTCAAACCAAATGGAAATTTGTTACTATAAACTCAGATTAAGAAGCTATTAGGCCTCCCCAGTGGCCCAGTGGTTAAGCGCTGGGTTGCGAAGCTGCCCGCAGCCTCTGCGGCGCCGGTTCAATCCCTGGCTGCTCCCCGGCCACTGGGGGGAAGGTCCCGCATGGTGCGCAGACCTCTCCTGCCGCCCGCTGCTCCCCTCAGCAGTGTACTTCGGTCCTTCTGCCTGCTCTGCTCCCCGCTCTGGCTCTGGTGAATTCTCTCACCCTCCCGGGCTTCTGACTGTACCCAGCGCTTGTATAAACAAATAAAAATAAATCTTAAAAAAAAAAAAAAAAAGAAGCTATTAGGAGACAACAAATTGTTACCATCTCGTACACAGCCCTCTTCCCCATTGTTCAAAGACTGCTGTGAATCCAACGGATTTTAATGCAAGTACACAGGCATTGTAAACTCACACAAACATCTTAGCATACATAAGACGGAGAATATAGTCCTATAACTTACTTATCTTACTAAATGATATGTCTTCCACACCGTAGAAAAAGCTTTTTCCTATCAGCCTCTTGTTTTTAATAGTGACAGAATAATCTAATGTGTAAAGATCACTTATTTTATCCTGTTAACTGCAATACTGCACAGGTTTT